AATCGCCCCATCGTGTTTTGAAGCGAAATCGTATACGTTTAAAAAAGTCGAGGAAAATAAGGGTAAATAAGGGCAAGCACGAAAAAATAATCAACGTCTCCGGAAAGACTTGTTTTCGAATACAGCGGAATTATTTGATAGGATAACATATATTTAACTCCCCATCATGTTTTGAAACAAAATCGTATACGTTTAAAAAAGTAAAGGAAAATAAGGGTAAATAGGGGCAAGCACGAAAAAATAATCAACGTCTCCGGAAAGAATTGTTTCGAGCACGACACCATTATTTGATGTGGATAACATATATTTATCGCCTCATCGTGTTTTGAAGCAAAATCGTATACGTTTAAAAAAGTCAAGGAAAATAAGGGTAAATATGGGCAAGCATGAAAAAATAATCAACGTCTCCAGAAAGACTTTTTTTCGAACACGGCGGCATTATTTGATGTGGATAACATCTATTTATCACCCCATCATGTTTTGAAACAAACTCGTATAGTTTAAAAAAGCAAAGGAAAATAAGTGTAAATAGGGGCAAGCACGAAAAAATAATCAACGTCTCCGAAAGACTTGTTTTCGAACACGACACCATTATTTGATGTGGATAACATATATTTATCGCCCCATCGTGTTTTGAAGCAAAATCGTATATGTTTAAAAAAGTCAAGGAAAATAAGGGTAAATATGGGCAAGCACGAAAATATACTCAACGTCTCTAGAATGACTTTTTTTTCGAACACGACGGCATTATTTGATGTAGATAACATCTATTTGTCGCCCCATCATGTTTTGAAACAAAATCATATGCATTTAAAAAAGCAAAGGAAAATAAGGGTAAACAGGGGCAAGCACGAAAAAATAAACAACGTCTCCGAAAAGACTTGTTTTCGAACACGACACCATTATTTGATATGCATAACATATATTTATCGCCCCATCATTTTTTGAAGCAAAATCGTATACTTTTAAAAAACCCAAGGAAAATAAAGGTAAGTAGGGGCAAGCACGAAAAAATAATCAACGTCTCCGGAAAGACTTGTTTTCAAACACGGCACCATTATTTGATGTGGATAACATATATTTATCGCCCCATCGTGTTTTGAAGCAACATCGTATACGTTAAAAAAAGACAAGGATAATAAGGGTAAATAGGGGCAAGCGCGAAAAAATAATCAACGTCTCCGGAAAGACTTGTTTTCGAACACGGCACTATAATTTGATGTGGATAACATATATTTATCGCCCGATCATGTTTTGTAGCAACATCGTATACGTTTAAAAAAGTCGAGAAAAATAAGGGTAAGTAGCGGCAAGCACGAAAAAATAATCAACGCCTCCGGAAAGGCTTGTTTTCGAACACTGCGACATTATTTGATGTGGATAACATATATCGCCCCATCAAGTTTTAAAACAAGATCGTATATGTTTAAAAAAGTCAAGGAAAATAAGGGTAAATAGGGGCAAGCACGAAAAAGTAATCAACGTCTCCGGAAAGACTTGTTTTCGCACACGACACCATTATTTGATGTGGATAACTTATATTTATCGCCCCATCGTGATTTGAAGCAACATCATATACGTTGAAAAAAGTCAAGGATAATAAGGGTAAATAGGGGCAAGCACGAAAATATAATCAACGTCTCCGAAAAGACTTGTTTCAAGCATGCCACCATTATTTGATGTGGAAAAATAATTAACGTCTCCGGAAAGACTTATTTTCGAACATGGACCATTATTTGATGTGGATAAACTATATTTATCGCCCCATCGTGTTTTGAAGCAACATCGTATACGTTTAAAAAAGTCGAGAATGTTATCATCCGATTCGGTAAAACTACATTAAGAGATTCCAAACGTCACATTAAGAGGAAGATGACCATTGAACCGACGTGATTTTAACACCACCCCGGTCCGGGCGATGAACCGGACCAAACTACCGAAGACCGAAGTGGTCAGCACCTACCGAGGTCTATTTAAACCGAGATCGCCACCTCCTTAAGCAGGTGACAAGGTGCCTACGCACAACCATCCCGCTCCACAAGATCCGTCATCATTTATGTGGGACCCTCTGCTCCAAACCGCCCACAAAAAGTTACTTTATTCAAAAAGTAGTACACAGATCCCAATGTATCTACCAAAAATTACTATAAATAGTGAACCCATGACATTTGTACGGGGATCTCTCTCCGAACTGAAAAAACTTTATTAAGCAACACGTAAAAGCCCATCACGGCTCTTCACCTCGGTTCACCTCGGACCGGGGCCATCGTTGAAGTTATTCTACATGCTTTACGCCTGAATCATTCATAATTCTCATCTTCATTACGTGTTATATCGTTGTTAGAAATCACATAACAACAGTTTGGCGCTAGAGGAAGGGCCTCATAAGTGATTTGAGGTTAATCTCCGCTGTTCCAAGTGACGATTCACACCAGCCATATCCACCATGTCTCACTCAGATCCTCGTGGTCACACGTCACGAGTCGGCCACAGCCGTAGCGCCGCACAATCTGCGAGACGACAAGCCGTGGCCCCACCTGTGCCGGATTATGCTGTTCTGTTTCAAAATCCGGAGTTTACGCGTGGTTTTGCCGCTCTAATGGCTCAAACGATGCCGGGAACATCGACAACTGCTCCGGGACACTCCATCATTCCTACGACCCCCGCGAACCGACAGAATCCACCGGCGCGACAAGACGGCGGAAGGACAACATCTCATGCTACATCTCAACCTCGTGATCGAATGTCGCAACCGCCTCCGGAACAAAATACACGTCGCACCGACGCCGGGCGTAATCCTCCTATACCCCCTCAAGAAGAAACTGCCGAAAGCCAGTCGGGTCATTCACGACGGTCACCGCCTCATGCACAGCGCCGAAATCCCTCCAATCCGGCGCCGACCAACCTCCGACAGCATATTGAACGGAATCGAGCTCGTCAAGAGTCATCCGCCGAACTCGAAACACTGCGACAACGAATAGCCGAATTGGAAAGTCGGCAACGAGCACCTGAAGATCCACCTCGGCGAGCCTCCACCTCAGCACAAGTATATTTGGAAGCCGATTCTCCTCTTACTCCGGAACTCACTTCGGAACCAGTTCCTGGAAAAGTTAAGGTTCCCCAGATCGGGCTATACGATGGAACATCTGACCCGGACTCGCACCTCGGTCATTATACTTCATGGATGGATCTGCATGGGGCCTCAGACGCACTTCGGTGTCGTATGTTTTCACTTACACTGGGGCCTCGGGCTCAAAAATGGTACCATTCTCTTCCTCCTCATTCAATTTGGAAGTGGCAACAACTAAGGTCGGCTTTCTGATCTCATTTTATCGGGGCCCAAGTATGCCTTATCCCAAAAGAATCTCTTGCGAATATCACTCAAAAAGATGATGAAAGTGTTAAGGATTATATTGCCCGTTTCAATGACCGAGTTCAGAATATGGAACCTTGTCATCCTGAAACCTTGCTTGTTATGGTTATTGCTGGATTGAAACCGAATTCGATTTTCCGTTGGACGCTGTGCCAAAATAAACCGAACACTTTTCAAGAATTTCTTGCTCGAGCCCAGCAGCATATCATAGCGGAAGAAGCCATGTCGGTTCCCGATTTCAACTTTAACCCGAAGTCTTCCAAAGCGGGAACCGACGAAAAAAGGAAGAATAAAATTTTCGACAAGCAAAGTAAGACTCAATTCAGAGGGCCTCCTCGGGGAGACCCCAATGATCCTGAAGTCCGAGCAGCCCGGAAACAGTACGCAACCGATGTGAAGTCCGGTTATCAAACTGTGTACTCGGCGGGAGCAGCCACTATTTATGAAGAAATCAAAGGGAAGGGAATTTTACCAGATCCCAAGCCACTTCGGATGCCTGAAGAAAAACTGGACAAGTCCCGATATTGCGATTATCATAAGTCGCCAGGGCACAACACAGACGAGTGTTTGAGTTTGTTGGCCGCATTGTTGCGTTTAATCGGCCATCCGCAGCTTAGAAAATTTTATCGTAACACTGATCCTCAGAGGCGAGGTCCTGGACGTCAGATCGAATCCTTTGATGATGAAGACGATGAGGAATACCGAGGTGCTATGACAAAATGCATCCGACAAGGAGAAAATGAAGTATTCATGTTCACCTCGGAGAAGTCCGATTCTAACTCTGCTGGCACTCCCCGAGGACAAAAACGAGATAGGTCTCCTGAACCAATGCAAATCACCGTCCACCGGGTCAATACCAACAACCCCCGGAGTACATTGTCCCGTCGACAGGTCAAGGCATATGCCCGACAAGCGCACAACTCCGGCAAACAGGTCTACACTACCGATTTGAGAGATATTCTCAACAATCGAAATTGCCCTATAACCTTTAATATGGAGGATGCTAATCAT